ATATATATATATATTATATATTTTATATTTTGGAGCGAGTGGAAAAGGAGAATCTGTTATTCCTGCGGCTAAGTTCCTCGGCTTTCTTCTTCTTGGCAGCTTGCTTGGCTCCGGCTCCCGGTTTTGGTGCCATGGCTTTAGACTGGAACCTTGCTAGGGCTCGAACACGGAAAAAAAACGACCCGGACAACGGAGCTGGATCCTACAACGTCTACCTACACAAATCCGGTCTACGTATATGGGGTCCTATATACGTAACCTACCGTGCAGAGCCCCGATTTTATTTTTTCACACGTTTTCACTCATATTTCACACCTAGTGTTTAGCAGGGATGGGTTTTCACACAATTTCACGCGATTTTCACATCCCTGGCTGTTCGGGGTACGTAGCTCTACGTCGACTCGGGCCCAAAATGCTCGGTGCAAGGACCCTGTGCGACAATCTTCTGGGCTGAACTCATCCAGGCACGGCTCGCTGGCAATCTAGCAGAGTGAACACCACCGGCTTCGGAACATGTTTTGCTTCCAAGTTGTGAATCCGGATCAGTTGCAGCTGTTGCCACTGGCGGTGCGGTTCAGGTCTTCCGGGGGCCAGAGGCACATGTGTTAATTCCCAGCATTACAACTATAGATCTTAAGCTTTTGGAAGCCCCATAGAAAAACCGACTTAGATCATTGAGCCCCCCATGTGATCATGAATCTTGAATCAAGTGAAGATCCACGGTCGGCACCTGCAACAACTGGAATCCTAGTCGATCAAAATCGATCATGAGCAAGCAGGAAGAACCCTGCATACACCTAGGACTTGTAATGTACACAGTGTATATAAACATATATATATATATGTACACACACATAGTTATATATATATATGATGCATGTACACATATGCACCATATATATATATATTCATACATATATATATATATAATGTATGTACAGACACACATGTATATATATATATATACATATATATATATATGTATATACTTATTACAATAATTATATATACATATACATATATATATATATATGTTTATATAGACATATGCATATGTATGCGTGTGTGTAATGCGAATTAAGCATACACATATATATATATACACACACACACACTTCTTCCTAGTATATATATATATACATGCATATATATATATATGTAATATATATATATATATATTCATACACACACCACAGATCGTCCATATATATATATATATCTGTACATATATATATATATGTATACACACACGTAACCGTCACATGTACACACACGTACACACATACATGCATACAAACAGAAATTCACTCGATCCTGTCTATCGATCTATCTACACACCTGTAATATATATTAGACTATACATATGCTATAGAACTCTAGACCTCTATATATGTAAATATACATATATATGTATGTATGTATGTATGTATGCATGTATGTATACAATAACTATATGTGTGTTGCATATCCAAACTATCAGTCTGTCTATATATATATATATATTTATACATACACACATGCACATATTTATGTATGTCTATGTATGTATTCTATATGTTTGTGCGAGTGTTCGATGACACTATATATAATATATTAGACATGCATGCCCGTCGTCCTTGTACATTGCCGAGGTGCCTGGCTCTCTCCATTATAACCTTCGTGTCGTGTATCATGGAATTGTATATGTATTTTTTTTATCCTGAGAGAGAGAGAGAGAGAGATATTATACATACATATGCATACATACATAACATATCATCTTAGCCTTTGCACAACATGATCATGTATACACTGTATGTATGTGTATATATATATATGTACCTATATATATATATATGTATATGCATATGTTCATACCCATGTCGGCACATAATGTGCAAGGGTCGCCTATCTATCATGTGTAATGTATACATGTTTATGTATATGTGTGTAGATCTCTGATACATGTAGGTGTGTGTGTGTGTGTTTACATGTTGCATACACACCTGTGTGTATGTATACAGCCAGCTGATGTCAACATGTTCGGTGCACGGAATGCAGACATCGACACACATATACATACACCACGAACTCTGCACCATCGCACTATATATATATATATGTGTGTGTGTGTCATATGTATTTGTAAAAAAAACACATATATATATATATACATATTTGTATATATATATATATGTTGCATATGGATCCTTTGTCTGCAGTATATGTGTACATTAGAATCTGCACATTGGTCGCATGATTTAGAGGCGATCCTCTGAGAACACCCCGCTCATAGCTTCGCCTGCTCATAATCATATTAAAATCGCTCGCATTGCAAGCTGAACAAAACAGCCGACCAAGCCATCACATGCGAGCACTCCTTCTAAGTCCGGATGAGGATCCCCTGCTGAACTCGGTATACATACCCGCTACGACAATTTGCAACCTAAGCAACATGCGATGCTCCTTATGCTGCCGACTGAAACTGCAGCACCTGACTCTTGTCTTTGCCACCCGTCCTGACGAGACCGTAGTGGTCGCAGAAGTTGTTAAACACTTCAGCTGAGGGCAGGGTCTCAAATTCCAAGACCCCAGCAACACAATAGTACTCCCCCTTGAACACAGCATCTTCGAGAAACCGCCTCAGCTCCAGGAGGTTGGCTTCCGACCATGGCTCGTGGAGGTCCTGGCCAAAGCTGTGCTGCATGTTGGTTATAGGGCTTGGGGGTTATACTCAGGACTTATGGGATCGCAGTGGCAATGTGTGGGTATGCACAGTAGAGACAGCTGGCATGCAATGGGAACCTCGAATCATTGCACTATAGCATAGCAATCTATGCAAATTCATCCCAGGGAAACATGTACAGTTCCAACAGGCTGATCGCATGATCATTCCCAGAGTGTCTGTGGCCTGGTACCCGGATTCCAGAATCCTCGCCAAGTTCGGCATCTCGGGATCGGTAGCCTGGTTCGGAGAGGTGTTACTATGCATCGGGATCGGTAGCCTGGTTCGGGGAGGCTGTCAGAATTGCACAGGTGTGGTTTGCATTTAGGGGGGATGGGGAGGGTTGGGGTTTAATGGTTCGCCTTAATGTGATCAGCTACAACCTGGCACACGTGGGAACATGATCTACATACAATTGATTCTAAGGTTGTTGCACCCTACGAATTCGGAAGTTTGAAGTTGGGAATGTCCGATCCCCGGAGCATGATAAGTATCAGGTTTCATACAATAACCGTACTAATATTGAGTGAGGATAGCACTGCATCAAACGGTAGTATCATCATGCTGGCAATCCGAAGAGTCGATCCACTACTTGAACGTGTTTAACTGGCCCTGTTGTCTTATATTAGCCACTTGTGGTACTGTGTCCGATCGGCTGGGCCCCCCCACCAGCCATTGATGGTGACAAAGTTGAACATTCTTGCCAAAGTACCGCTTGTAGCCACGGGAGGAACGGTGGCGAGCTTGCCTCATTATATATACAGCTGTGACTCGACAGGAATTGAGCAACGAAACATAAGCCCTGATTATGTATGTGCCTCAGGTCTCTGCACTATGTGATGCTGATGGCGATCCCCGGTTCGGAATGCAGTCGCAAAGGAGGCGGCTTTCTCCTTCAGGCCCGTCTTCTTCACTTCCAGCCCCCGGATCCAAGGCCTCGGATTGCCCATTCAGTGCAGCCCAGGGCTGAACCAATCAGGTACTCCGGTTTAGGAGGACAGTATGCTCATGTCGGGTAGTATTCGATTCCAGACCACGATAACTTTAATTGTGCTCGCGATGGTGGGAAGGGATGCATAGATGTATACGGATGATCTGTATGTTCGAATCAGGGAGAGACAAATTTCGAAATTGCTGTGTTATATTCTAAGAGTGTGGGTATATATATATATATATATTATCTAGAGAGAGAGAGAGAGAGAGAGAGAGAGAGAGAGAGGACGACGACTGAGAGACTTATAGAGAAACGGGTTAAGGAACAGAGAGACTGAGCGAGAGACAGAAAGAATAAAGTTGAGACAACAGCCGAACGAGGTTAACTGTGTGGGCCCCACCATGTCCCCCAAAATAACCGCAAACATTATGTATGCAATGACTCTAGCTATATATATATATATCATGCAGACTGCTAGTCACCACACCACGAGCTCAACATCTATAGATCCAGATTTTCAAGCTCCCAATATTGCAATGGTCTCTCTCTCTCTCGCTGACTCTCTCTCGACACAACTTGTCGGCCTCCCACCATGCACCGGCCAAGACACACGTTGCCGATGCCAGTGTAGGCTCCTGCCCACCTGGGCCGAGATTCATGCACGAACTGGTAAGCTAGCTATATGGCATATGTCTGCTTCGAAGTGCCAGTGCGACCGAACCGCCAGAACACGTCGAAGTGCTTCTGCAATCTATATTGCAGAACATGTGGCGAGGGGACACAGGGCATGCCATGACACGTGTGGGCACAGATGGCCGACCTAGTCATCGCCAGCATGTACAAGAAGCAAAGCCGTGTCCGAGTAACAGGGTCCGCTTCTTCAGGGAGGCCAGCACAGATAAGCCCGCCGGGCTTTACACGAAGGATGTAAAGAACTGCACGTAAAAACCCTACGGTGCAGGCCATGTTCTCGAGCTCGCCATCCTTCTTCTTGTCGTACTGCTGCCTTGTTTCATGTTGAGGGAAGTTTTTCTCCTGGAAAACACCCTAGTAAGCAATGGTCATCGTTTACTTAGCATATTTCAGATCAAGACAGGAGTCGAAGCCATTTTCTCGTCCCTGAAGGCCTTGGCCACGGCACAGCCGAAGCCACTGAAGATCTCCAGACACTCCAAGTCCTGATCATGAAGCATCTAACCTACAATGGTCCATGTTGCACCGGCGCTAGCGACTTCTGCTACCTAGCAACTCGGGTACGGTGCCCATTAGTCATCTCGCTGTACTTGACGATGTAGTCGATGACATGTATCCTTAGTCAACCAACTTGACTCGTTTAAGCTATATATATATATATATAGGGTATAGGATAGTATATAGGGTCTATATAATTTAGGGTTCAGGGTAGAGCAAGCGAGCGACAGCACCGGAGGGCAGCCGAAGCATAAGAGAACAGCAGCTTCTTGTCGCGACAGGGCCAGGCCGTGGTACATTCGCAGCTCGGAGAGGTGCATTGCAGCTGTTGCTTAAAATTTCCGGCTAGCAACAATGTTACAATTTCAAAACAAACTGGATCCGACAATCCACCCCATTAACGACATTTCTTTGTTCGTCTAGCGCAGCGGATGCTAGGAGCAGCTAGTTATTGTATCGAAATCCCACACACCACATCAGCTGCAACTTAGTAGTATGTCAGGTGCTGCTACATACAAGTATAACACACGGTTGCTGCCTGGAGCTGTACCTGAAAAGCCAATACAATTAGGCGACCACTCTCGGCACAGATCATGTGTCATCACAGTTGCAATTGCTGCTCTAGCTGCAGATGCACGGTCGATGGTTCAATCATGGCACAGCACAGCTTATTACAAGGCACAGCTGGGTCATGACTCCGGACTCTGAGCTCGGGTTGGAAGCACCTTTCGAAGGCCGATGCGAAGAAGTCGATGTCGAAGGCACCGATGTACGGGCAGTGGGCCGACCTGCGAGATTGCAAAACCAGTATAGGAGACATGATGCCATGCAGACGGCATGATCACTGTCAGCAGAGTGCAATGTGCAAGTCGGCCAAGCATTTCATCATGATCATTGCATCCGTGAATCCAAAACTTAATGCACTCGAGCTTGGAACAGCTATGCCAATGCAACGGCCACAAGAATTGCATAGCACAGTCTATGTCGAGGACTTACAAAGCCCCATGCATGACCACAAATGGCCCCATGGGCCATGTATGTATTTACCCCGCTAGCTAGCTAGCCTGCAGTGAACAAAGCCCGGCCGTAAAACACTGCTGTGCCCAAGCTCATGCTAAAGCCGGCTCATGCTCAGGCCATCGTGACCATCAGCCAGTGTTCTGCTCCACGAGGCTCCATGGGCCACTGGCTGCATATGCATCCTCAATGGCAGTGTTATATGATCGGAACCCACATCTAAATTTCATCGTGCATGTCACTGGCATCCGATGGCGAATAATTGCATGCACAGGGACTCGCGCTCAGGCCATCGTGACCATCAGCCAGCAGTGTTCTGCTCCGCGAGGCTCCATTGGCCACTGGCCGCATCCTCAATGGCAGTGTATATGTTGGAACCCACATCTATATTCTATCGTGCATGTGATCACTGGCATCCGATGGCGAAATTTAAATTGCATGCACAGAGACTCGCCCGGGAACGGGGATCCATCCAGCCATGATCTGGGCTTTCGTCCACCTCAGATACAGTCGTGCTCGCATTGTCATGTACATGTCTAGCTAGAATAGGGTATGGGGGTCAATAGTCCGTATGGCTAGTACATAACCCATCACCGTCACGAGAGGCTGGTATGTGTTCATGACCACCGTCTGCTGATTAATTTAGACATGTATATTCTAGCTAAAGGACTCGTACAAATTATAGCGATGCCTCTATTGGGTTTCCGGCCTTGCCTGGGTCTAGCAATAGGATTTTAGGATTCAGGGTTTAGGGTTTAATTAAGTAATGTTTAGGGTTAGGGTTTATCTCGATGCAAAAGATTAATCAGATCGCAACAAAATAAATAAAACCAACTAGCAACTAGCATCCAGCAAGCAACCCCGGGACATGTGATCATAAGCGCCTTCAAGGCACCCAACCTCGAGCCCGAACCGGTGCCAGGGGATGGTGCATCCACCCTTTTGGTCGGGGGGAACCGTGGTCCAGGCCATAATCACCCGCTTAATATAGAAGTTCTTCCCGATGAGGATCACCCCGATGGGGCTGGAATTGGCACGGCAATTCGGGTCCGGGTGGTACACAGTGAAGCTCCTCGGATCGATAATAATTTATAAGCTTAGCATACAGCTTAGCTTCATCGCATGATCCATGTCTTGAGGTGAGCTGCTGCCTCTCAAGCCGGAGTGGCACGTCCAGGCCGGGAAGCCCTGCAGCCCGGACCGTCTCCAGACCCTCATCCACTTTCTTCTGCTTCCGGGGCGACTGCTTCTTATTGGCCATGGGGGGCCCGGGCTTCTCATGATCCTTACTGCTGCCTGCACCTGAACCCTTCAACAGCTTGCTGGACCGGCTCTTGCGAATCTTCTTGGGCTCCTCGAGCTCTGGCTCAGGCACCTGGGGCTCGGCGGCGACGGCTGCGATCTTGCCACGTCCTCGGCCACGACCGCCCCTGCCCCCTCCTCGCTTTCGCTTCCCGATGCGGTCGTTTTCCACGATCGCTGCAGCCTCAGATGTGGAAGTTAAGCCAACATATAATTATACTGGCATGACGAGGCGATCATGTCATGATCGTTAGACTTGCCATGGTACCTCCCGGATAGATGTTCGCACACTCTCTTGCAGCTCAGAGATGTGGTCAAACCGCACATGCTGACGAGCAGGGCAGAACTCAGGAGGTCTCTCGTCCCTGTACTTCGGCAGTATCAATGGAGCACGATCCTTAATGTAGCTTCCAATGTGTATGACGAAATTTTAAACCTCAATGAAACCCGAATGCAAAGCTGATCTTGTCGGATCCCTCTATGATTGAATTATTTGCAAATGTATACATGCCTAGCTTCTTTGCAAGCAAACGTTGTAATCTGCACAGCAGCTGCAGGATCACCATCGGCCGGCTCGGCGAGCTCTCGCCCAGGCGCGGGGGCATCCACAGGGAGATTCACAGCCTTGAATCGTGCAAAGCACTATATGGATCACAGAGAGTCCCAGCAGGAATCGCATTCTAATGATTGCAAACCAGCCGCCGGCTTCGGGCTGAATCCCAAAACCTGGGCCCCTCTAACCACAAGCTTAGCCGGCGAGAGCATCGCCGCCAACTCGTCCGCCTGCTGCAGGTCCGGGTGGCCCGCCTCCTCGTCGACCTCGTGATCTTCGGGGGCCTGATGCGGTGCATAGCTATACAAGGGCTATTGGTTAGCTAGAAGTCGTCATTCAAGCTAGGTGCAAGCAAGCAGTCGTGATGCATCGATATCAAGCTTGATTGACTACTTCAGTCTTTATTCTAGAATGATCCGACAGCGAGCCTGCACGTCACCCTGGAGCTCGAGCTCGGCCTCTATCTTCCTGCGGAAAATCTGCTTGAGCACATCCACCTTGGGGCTCCTGCAACAGGGCATGCTACGATGTTCGCATGCACATATATATGTGATCAACTGCTATTGCATCTGCATGTGCATGTCTGTGTATTATACCTCTGTGATATAATACGATGCGAGACACACGATCCCCTGCAGGCTCAGGTCCTTGAGGGTTCAGGGTTCGGATTGAGGGTTTAGGGTTTGGGAGTTTGGAGTTTTATAGGGTTTAGGATTCGGGGGTTTAGGGTTTAGAGTTTTAGGGTTATGATTCGGGGGTTTGGGTTTTAGAGCAGTTTAGGGTTTAGGGTTCAGCGGTTTAGGGTTTATGTACATGTTTAAGTACATGTGCACAGCATCCCTCCACGGGCTAGATCGGATAACTCGATTATTCCATGGGCCAATTCATGATCAGAAACCTTCAACCTCAAGTCCATATAACCCCGTTCCCAATCGATCCTGGAGGAGTCTGCTTTCTTCAGAGTGTTCTTCAGGTGGGTCAGCATCGTCCGGAATCGAGCAGCTTCTACCTTTCCCCATTCCTGGGTATCTACGGGATTTGTTAACTATAGTTTGGAACCCGCCTCAACGATACGACGAATGCAAACAAGTATCGCGGCATTTGCCTTTTCCACCCCTTTGATGGAATATACACTCTCCGTGAATGTTCAAGTTGACCGCCAGCAACACAAATGCTGACTCGAACACCGAAAGCGCGGGGATGACGGGTCCGCAGGCTACCAACCACTCGCGAATCAACGTGTAGTTGGATTCCAAGTCATAGTTGTATACCTTGGAATTCGATTCAGAACTCACCAAACTGTCCACCCCACCACTCGAATACTCGCCATCTGACACAAACCAGTGCATGGATAAGCGGCGGCAGCCTTCTCCCGAGAGGCCCATTCAACGAAGGAACGTTCCTTACACACCATGTTGAGTTAAGGTTTGAATTGGCACTGCAACGGCTTGCATGCAAGAACTCATCAGAATTATAATCGAGAGGCCAAGGGGGTGGGCACACTCATGATCTCGGCAAGCTGGCCTCGGAGCACCTCCACCAGGGCATCGTGGATGGCATCAGCTTCAACCTCGATCGGAGTGCATATTATGTTTTGTTTTTTATTTAAGTTCGTGCATGTTGGCATGTTCGATTCTTTCATGATCATTGCAGCCAATGCACAGATACATGTATCGTCATCGGCTCGCGGATGGTCCGCACAGCCGGCTTACCCCCATCTCCAGCACCCTGGCCCCTCGCCATGCTGAAAAGGGCAGCTTGAGCTCGCAGCTGAGCTTCAAATCAACACATCTGGAATGATGCCAAGTGCAAACTGCATGACCATGACTGCTGCCCAGATCTGTGCATGCATATGCAGAACAAGAGTGCACGGGCAACGGGAGGGCGGACCTTGGCCGCTGGATCTCTGGCCATAAATCGATGCTTGCCGCAAAAGGCCCATGACCCACAAACATGCACATGTGCAACAGCTGTCTAGCGATCTACGTATGTTGCAGCTGCTGTCCTGCATGCCAGTACATGTCATGAAACTTATAAGGTCCATGACCCACATGCACACATGTGCTGTGTACATGTACGAATGAATCTGCAATCGGATGTGCTGTGTACATGTACGACTGAACTGCAATCGGAATGATTTCCAAGCCTCCATGGCCTGCTGATCGCAATGCAGCAACTTCGCACACACGGCACAACCTGGAATTACGTATTTTAGGGATTTGGGCCTCACCCCCGAAATACCAACTAATTCGCGAAAGGCCCTCACTACGAAGCGACTTCCAAAGTATATGATAATTGAGTGATCGGACCCTTGGGGTTTTTGGTGATTGATGAGGGCTACCTGGACAATCAAGAGGGCTATTGGGTCGAGGATGAAGAGGATGGCGCAGAGGGTTTCCTTGAAGCTGATGAGGACACCTTCTGGGTCTATGACGAGGACAACTACACGTGGTTTCAGAGA